GATAGTTGCTCTGAGGCGTTACAGGGCGTCCAGGGCATGTTAGTGACACTATGGTTACAGCGAAATGTTACTCGCTCAAATTCAATTGCACGTGTACCTTGAGAATTCCCACTTGATCCTTGTTGTGTTAAGCAATCCATTCCCCTCCTGTTTTAGATTTTCTCCATTTCCGTTATCTTCACTCACCTGACTGTCCTTGGTTACCTTGCACGGTGCTTCAATTAGATGAGCGTTGTTGGGTTGACACGATTTCATTTTGATTATTCCTAGGGGTGAAACAATTATACCGAGTACTCGAGTACTCGCTCGGTTTTTTCAAAAATAATCGTACTCGGAATAAATCAGAGTACTCGTTCATACATGGTACATGCATTTACTACAGAAATCTGCAGTTTCAGGGCAGCAGTCGGCAGATGGTGATGTGCAGGCTGTGTGGTGAACATTTGTTCACGAGTAGAGAGAGCCCAAATGACCCACCAACCAATATACCCGAGAAAAATGACTGCTACTCGGTTCAATCAGGGTTGTATCATGTTATTTTAAAGCCCTTGGTGTGCAATTTTTAGGAGATGAAAAATACTCGAATACTCGAATATTCGATCGGAGAAAATCAGAGTACTCGAACTCGGGATCTCAGTGCCAACTTTCACCCCTAATTATTCCCTTTCCACATATTCCTCGACTCCCTGGAGGCACATGTGCCTCGCTTAGGAGGGAGGGATGGTGTAACAGTTCCCTGTTAGCGCTAACCTTATCTGCCCTCTAGCTCTGTATCTTGCACCTTTCCCTATCCTGTCAGCACGCGCGTTATCACCTTAGGGCACGAAGTGCCCTATATCAGTTGTGTTGCCTTGAGCAAGCATTGTCTTTTCCAAGAATACCTTCAAACGGTTACACCTTCCCCTCCTATGTTATTCCCGTTCTGGTGGTGTTAGTAGACATTATAGCGTAACTTGTAGTTCCTTGGTCCTTTTCTTTTCTATAATTGTTTTCTTATTAATTTTTGTTAGGGATTTCCCAACAGGCAATGTTGCCTTATCCTTGACTCTTCATCCGAGTACATTCTTGCATACCTCTTCCTCTTTTCTTTTCATTTCATTTCTCTCCGCTGTTCCCTCCTTTCCCTTTTCCCTGTCTTTACTGCGTGAGCTTGGCAACGAAGGCTGCAAATTGTCCATCTAAATTGTCATAGTCGAAGTACAGTGCTGTTTTACTGAGGCGCTCGGTTGTGCATGATTCATGTTCGCATAGCTTCCCTTTCAATTGATCTTTCCATCTTTAGAGCCACACACGTTGTGTGGAATGTTGCTTTGCGTCCTTGAATCGTGATTTGACCGTATTGTCCAATGGTCTTGCCAGTATCGTCATTGGAATGCATGTACATGTGTATCCGCTAAGACTTTCAGCTTGTGCTTGTCTTGGTTACGCGCACCTTCCCCTCCTACTCGTGTGACTTATTATTTCTATATCTTAGAACGTTCCAAGTTGGAAAGCTGTTGGCGTTCGCATCCAAGATGTGCTAGAGCTGTTGGCCAGCTAGTTGTAGAATGTCAGTATCGTTGGTCGGAGTCGTGCAATGTTATCGCATGAGCTGATTGTTTAGTAACTGGTGGTGTTAGTGGACATTATAGCGTAACTTGCAGTTCCTTGGTCCTTTTCTATAGAACTGCAAGCGAAAGGAATTTGCAAGAGCATGTGAGAGTATTCCTAAAGACGATACATGTACCGCGGCAAGAGACAGTCGTAAGAGAGAACGTTATGCGAAGAGGTTACTGTGTTGAGACACAACCGCTTAGAAGATATACCACCTGAGCTATGGGGAAGGTGAGACATGAGGTAGGAAAGGAGAAGGAGATCACCGCGTCAGGTTTATAATGCTGATTACTCAATCTGCGGACAGAACTGTTTCGTCCTTTGTGGACTCATCAGCGCAGCACAGAGAAAAAATGAGGCCGAACCTGATAGCAATGAAAAATAGAACAAATTCAAATGTCTCAGTACTCCTTGTCCGTTTTGTGCCATATTGTCGCACTCGCTGACTGTATACGATCTGGTTGCGTTGGTGGACAGTTAGTCATAACTCGTAACATTTTGTCCTTCTTCAAATTTTCCAAAGCCAGATTTAAACCCGGCCTGAACGTACCTTGCCAGAGTGCTCAAACTGACAAGTCGGTGAGCTCTGCATAATGCAAACAGCTGAATAGTACTTCAGCAAGGGCTACAATGCTCTTGGTTTGGAGCAATGCAGACAGGCACAGTGGGATGGTCTAAGACCAGGATTGAGAAACAGAGGGCCCCAGGTTGAAGTCCTGCTTGGAAGCGGACGGATTTTTTTCCAGCCGTGCTGCGACCCACAGTAAATTGGGAACTCGTGGCCTGGCACGAGGGAAACATGGATGCAGTGAATGGAATTCGACACACCCACTACACAGTATTCAGACACGGCCCTGCATCAAGGTTGCAATGGAGAGCAGCCACTGGAGAAGCGATCATGCAGTCTGATTACGGATAGGTGGGGGGAGAGCCTGAGATTGCGGCAGCTTCAGAGGCTGATTGACAATGCATCCCTTACTGGAAGTAATTAGTCAGACAATGTTTGACGATGCCTTACTCCTTTTTTGTTCCAATATAACAATTAAAATAATTCACCGTTTGCGTGAGACTGGGCTGGAGGTCGAGTTATTCGCATCCGCAGGAGCGCCACCACGCCCTCGGATAAACGTGCAGATGCAGTTCCTAAGCGGTTTGAGGTGAGTAGATCAGACCCACCGCAAAGTGGAAGACGTCTACTATCGCCACCTCCATATCTTGCCTAAATTCAGATGGGTCAACAAGATGCAATTGGCGTGACTGTCGGCTGCTTTGGGCAAAACATGGCACATGGATAAAGAGACTTTCTTTGACTGCTTGATGGTCACTGAAGCAGAATAGACGAGCACGACAACATGATATTAGCCCCACACTTGCCAGAATCAAGTCAATGGTCGCCCTGTTCGCTTCTCCACAGGCCAAGCCTCAATCGAGGGAGTCTCCGTCAACAGCTTATGAAAAAGAAGCTCAGGAGAAAAATAAAGTGGAATGTCCTTTGACTGTGTGTATTCCTTTGCGTAAACCTGTTCTCTGTAAACAAAAGAAGCATGTTTTCGCTCTGAAATTGTTTTGTTTATAAAAGTTCTTCCCTTTTTCCTCAGTTTGTTTCTCTCATTTTCACAGTTGTCACTTTCTGGTTTTCTCACCTTCTTTTTTTGCCATCTACTTACCATTGTTCTGTTGCATTTGACTTGGTTGCTGCATGGTGATGACCGCAGAGTTAGTTCTATTTATTGCTTCACTCTCGTGTGGGGTAGTGCCTTTGCCGTTCGCGTTATGCAGAGCTCACTGACTTGTCAGTTTGAGCACTCTGGCAAGGTACGTTCAGGCCTGGCTTAAATATGGCTTTGGACAACTTATTTTCATTGCTATCAGATTTGGCCTCATTTCCTCTGTGCTGCGCTGATGAGTCCACAAAGGACGAAACAGTTCTCTCCGCAGATTGATGAGTATTGCTTTATTAGAATGCTGGGGTACCCTGTAAAACGGCCCTGGCCTAGCGCCTGTGGAACTGCCCTATTCAAAATTTAATAATAATGATTATTAAATACTAGTAATAATATTTTGACTAGTTTGATGGAAAGACACAAACGGAAAAATAATAATAAGTATTATTATAATAAATGACATTGTAACACTAACAGTGTACCAGGTATGTAACTTCATTGCATTGACTTGACTGAGCTGGATAGAGTCCAGGCCAGGTTTGAAAGATCCTACCTTAGGAAAGGCAAAATCCGAATCGACTTTAATACACCCAAGCGGGATCTTAATAAAAAAGCTAACATTGAATCCCTTTGTTTGGCTTTATTTAAAGTGGAGTTCCAAAACAGGCCTAAACCTAATGACACCTTCTTTACCCCAGACAGTTTATAAGCTTAGTTACCATGCACACCGGTTATTTTCAAGTATCGACGTTGCCTAGCTTCATTCCATTTCAATATCACGCAGAGTGCGAGACGCCCAAACAAAAGTATTCTCCCTAAAGCAAAGACCACATCAAAATCGTTGTTTCTCTTCCAAACCTCCCTCTTATGGAACTGCCTCCCACCAAGACTAACTGCAGAACCATCCATTATTGTTTTCACGAATGAGCTTCGCAAACTCACTTGCAAACATAGTGCTTCGCTCTCCGGTATGCCTACGCCATGTACATACCCCCCCCCCCCCCCCCCTTGTGAGCTCCCCAACGCATTCACGCAGCACAACTTTTCACTACTTTCACTATAGCTCATACATTTACATGTACATGTACATTGTACATCCTTCAAAGCGGTGAACCCCTTGATAGGCGACAAGCCTCTGGGTCATCCTAATAAAGATATTATTATCATGTACTCGGGACTGTCTCGGGAGTCGGGGTGATCGAATCGGGCCCAGCCGAACATGACCATAATGAGCGCAAGCATACGCGAGGCGCACAAACGGCATCCATGACCTGAGGGGGTTATAGACCCAATACGGCGTTTATGCCGTTTGTAGCGTCTTGTGGTGCTAAGTACGGCTCCCATTTCCGGTTAGAGGCTCGGTATATAGCCGAAGCTACCAAAACGAACTCTGCACCTACTCCAGAAGCTCTGTTGGGCATTCGATTTGGCTTAGTCAGCAGCACAGATGTACGCGACTGTGCTGAAATCGAATCCCGGACAAGACCTTCAGCATATATGCCAGTATGGTCCGGTCTGCAAACGAGGCATAGCGTACACGAGGTGCTGTGAACAAATCCATAGGTGCTGTGAGCGAATCCATAGCTTGAGGAGGTGCCACCGGCGGCTGTTCCGGAGACGATTTGGGCTCGTGCTTCGTACAAATCGTGCAAGGTGCCACCCAAAGCGGGACGTGTGATTGTGTGTATGTGTGCGGGACTACGCCGAGGAATCGCCTGCTGCTTCCAATGACTTCGCACACCCACCGCAGCAAACAGCTCAGTTACAAGACTATTGGACCAAGTTCGTTTGGGAAAGAAGTGCGTGTCAGAGAAACGTCCGCCGTGTTGTGCGTGGGTTGTGTACTTGGAGTCTATTTACCAGGTAAGCAACATAGAGAGTCCCTAAAGTGTCCGTAAGATCTGAGCGTGAAGTGATGGCGACATTCTGACCCCTACTCTAAAAATAGACTCGATATCACCGAGATCATTACTCAGCAAGCCCTAGACTCGGGATGGTGGAGTCTATTGCCAAGGGCCAGCGAGACTGCGCGAGTTCGAGGGTCTATGTGAGGGTCTACTTCTGTCTGTGTCGAAACGAAAATGCCTAACCGCAGCCCAATCCTTTACTGATCGTGCCTACCCACAGGAGAGCGCGCAGCTGATCGGGGGTGCCATGGCGCCAGTAGTGCAGGAAAACCCGAGTGTGTGTGTGTGTGTGGGGGGGGGGGGGGGGTCAATCGATATACCGACGAATTCGAGAGCCATCATTGTGTGCTGAACTGTGATGTTATTTTTTCATGTTTGTGCCGTATGTCTGGTTCCAGCTCTGCCATTACTCACCGATGTACAGTGCTGGCAACTGAAATCCGACACCTTGAGCAGTGCGCTCACATGGCAAAGACCCAACACGGGATTGTAAAACTACGAAATAGAGCCCACTGGAATGTGAACGCACCGCTCAGGGGTCGGATTTCAGTTGCCAACACTGTACTTATTGGCTGATTGACTAGCCAGTTGTAGTTTACTTCAGTTCGCCGGAGTGACAAGGGGTTGCCGCGGTTACTTCGCCGGAGTGACAAGGGGTTGCCACGGTTACTTCGCCAGAGTGACAAGGGGTTGCCGCGGTGCCTTCTTGCATGGACGAATGAGTTTTTCGCGCCCATGGGGAATGATGACGAAGGGGAAAGAATATGACCGGCGACATTTCACGTGCAGGCGATGTCGTCGTCGTGGTCGTTGTTGTTGTTTTTTGAATTGTGTTTAAAGTTGCAACACAAACAGGCGACAGTGCCTCCTTTTATACATGTGCGCCACTCAACAAATTGTAGTAAAGGGGAGGGGAGGACGAAAAAATCGGGTGGAGGAACAAATCGTAAAGCGAAAGAAATAGCAATGTCGGCAGTAGCAGGAAATCTCAGCTGCCAAATTGGCGTAACGATCAAATCCTGACCTCATCCTGATCATGGTTTCATGAGATATCCCATGGGGACTTGCTATCTGTTGTGGGCTTCAGGCATTCGAACTGCCTCATTCTCACGCGCAACAGAACTAAATAATTTTAGAACGAAAACACATACGTTCTGGAGACAGCAGCTTCGGTACAGCCACAAGTAGAGCTAATTTAGCTGTAAGCATTTCCTAATTGGCGACATGCATTTCGGTATTGGATACAAGTGCTGTTTTCTCTCTCTTTGTGTGTGTGTGTGTGTGTGTGTGTGTGTGTGTGCGTGTTTGTGTGTGGTGTATGTGTACATGTGTGTGTACGTGTGTGTACGTGTATGTGTGTGTGCGTGCGTGCATGTGTGTGTGTGTGTGTGGATATGTGTGGATATGTGTGTGAAATTATGTTTGTGTGCATGTGTGTGCGTGTGCATGCATGTGCATGTATATGTGTGTATGCGTGTCTGTGCATGCATGCGTGTGCGTTCCTCTGCCATATTTGCTGCTTTGCTGCTTGTCAATGTGTGTCATTCCCACCAGTGACGAGGAACACGATGAAGCCCTCAATCTCTCTGTTCCTGCTGGCCAGCATATTTCTGCTTTCTGCTTTGCTAAATGAGGCCGCCGGGAATTGCCCCAAGGGAAAATCAGGACCTGGGTGTAAAGGTGAGTAATCACATTGCATACCAGACTCCAGCAGAAACCGAACATTATTCATGTGCGTATGTTTAGGGGCGATCCACACAGCCGTTGAATTTACAGCTGATCGGACAGTCACGGCACTCAAAAACGCTGGCTCGGGCTCCTGGAAGCGATTTGGTGGCGATGAAGCAGGGAAAGAATATCGAGGCGAGATGTCTTAAAAGAAAAACAATTGTACTATTGTATCGGTGAAAATAGTAAAATTTAATCAAATATTGTTCTATTATTACAGGGTCCGACAGAGCTCTCGGCCATTGATGAAAATGTTGAGTCACCTCCACCATCACACTGCGCTCTTTAGCCGACTAGACCCTCCTGCACACAACCATCACCATTGCGAAGGACACTTCCGTAGACGATATTGATAAACTCCTTCAGACAGCTGTTTCGCTAATACATAGCTCATCAGTGAAGGTAGATGTGGAATGATTAAAAATATAGACCAAACTGCTACTATATAGGGGGTTTCCACATACAAAACTGGCATAGCTGAGGTGATAACGCGGGAAAAGGAAAGTGTGAAGTACTGTTGACGCGCATTGGACATGCATGCAGCGTTGAAAATTCGGCGCGGAAAATCAATCACTATTCAATGCAGAAGTAACATGCCAGAATCAGAGTACAGCCGTCCCTCTCTAATCCGGCACCTTGTGCTACGGCGTTTTCTGCTGGATTAACGAGGGTGCTGGATTAAGAAATCCTGCCCTCTGACCCGGCCCTACCCAATTGCATGCATGTATCATGTGTACGTCAAAACGCAGGGTTTTTCCGTGTCGACCCAAGTATTTGGTGCACGGCTTTATTCTCAATTGTTCTCCGGGAATATACACAGTGATAAAGTGATAAAGTAAAACAGAGAACATGTTCACATGTACTCTTGCACACACACGCACACACACACACACCTGAAAATTGGCAGGACACTACTCCTTGCTAAAATAAGAAAGTATGGTTGACTGCCGTTGTCTCCTGGACAACCTTGACCAGATCAGACTGGCCTAGCATGGCCTGGCAAGGAGTGCACCTGTACGGTACGCGATTTACGACTGCCGGATTATGAAATCAAACTACGTGCAGTTTGAGCGATTCGTTTAAAAAAGTCACTGCCGGAGGCGGAATTCAAGTGCCGGATTAAGATGCAGGAATTGAACGAAAAAATCGGTTTCGTCAGAAAGTGCGCCGGTTGGCAAGGGTTCCGGATAAACAAGTGCCGGATTAGAGAGGGACGACTGTACTATGTAGCTAGTGAGAGTCGTACTAGTATTGCAGTTGTCCGAGCGCCATGAAGGCCTGCGAATGCACCTCACAACCGAAATATTGTTCTACGAACTTAAAAGTTGCGACTTCGGCGGTAATAGTCATGAAGTTGATTGTTCCAACTAGGAACACACACTTCTTGCCGAACTTGACACTCAACTGACTTGCGACTGCAAACATTGTTTTATTGCATTTTAATCCATTGTATTAATATTTCCCCTTAAAAAGAGGCTCGTAGACCTAACGGCGAGGCGACAATAATTTGATGACCGCAGTCAATAAGACAAGCTGAATCGACATTAACACTTCATTCATGCAAAGTAAAACGGTGTGGAGACGATCTGCAATAAAACAATGAAAATAGGAAGAGAAATAGTGTAGAGAAGAAAATTAGGATTCAACAAGTTTTTGTTAGCGGTGAAACAATTATGTAGTAGCTGGCCCTCGGAGACAATTTCACACACTCAAACAAAGCACTCACTTTGTGGTTTCACGAATACTCGTAAGGAGGGAATTATTAGTTACACACTCGGCAAGTAAAGATAAGAAGTGAAAAAGCACAAGAAAAGAACAATGCAAGAAGACAAAACACGCGGCGAACGGCAGCCATGTTTTTAGGTCATCAACCAATCAGTAATTTATATAAACCGGTTGCTGACGAAATTCTAGAATATTCCAGAGCTGTGAACTGTGATTGGTTAATTATGCTAATGTTCTAGAACAATAACACTAGCAGCAGTCATACGGGTAAATACGGGTTTAGCCATACACGACTCATACATTACTCACGAGCGACTCACGGAAAGGGTAAAAACATGCAGATACAAAATACGCAAGGAGAGAAAAAATGTAACTAACTGCCCATCTTGGGGTTTGAACCTAGGAATCTGTATCAACACAAGCTCTACAAATAAATACTCTTTTACTGACCGAATATTCGAGTACTTGCTCGGGTTTTTCCAAAATAATCGTACTCGGAATAAATCAGAGAACTCGTTCATACATGGTACATGACTGTGTTCACCACAGAAATCCACAATTTCAGAGCAGCAGTGGGCAGATATTGATGTGCAGAGTGTGTGGTGAACATTTGTACACGCGGAGAGAGAGCCCAAATGACCCGCCAACCAATGTACCCAAGAAAGATGACTGCCACTCACTTCAATCAGGGTGGTATCATGTGATTTTAAGGCCCTTGGTGTGCAATTTTTAGGAGATTTAAAATACTCGAATATTCGATCGGAGACAATCACAGTACTCGAACTCGATATCTCAGTGGCAACTTTCACCCCTAGTTTCTGTACAACACTTATCAGGAATCGTCGTTGTACTAAAGGACACTGAAACAAAATTGAACTTTTTAGAAAATCTAAGTTAGAGAAATAACACCAAGAACAACAGCTGTGAACTGTACAAGTGTGAATTTTAATAATCATCGAGAGCAATCATGAATGCGTGTGATAACAATAAACTGGCGAAATGAAAAATGAACAAACAAGAGAGAGAGAGAAAGAAAGAAAGAAAGAAAGAAAGAAGGACAAAGTGATAACACAGAACAGCAGTACATTTCGCCTAGAACATTAACGGCCAAGCTTGGCCGCACCACACACGATGCGTTACTTGGACAACTTCCACCTAATTATACTACCACTCTGAACACACCAAATCAGGCTTACGCTGATAAATGGCTGATTGCTGTGGTAAAAGTCTGCGATTCCCGAGATCTAAAATTCAGGCTCACTCAGTGTACCAGGAAGCACAAAACTGCAGGGCAACTTTGTGCTACTGATACACTGCCAAATAATAAGCCCAGTCTCTTGTGCCCCAGTCTTTAATATACAGTACGACGTGTCTAATAAAACGAGGAAGTAAATCTAACGTTTTAACGGATGACATTTCTTCGTTATAATAAGATCCGTTGAGGCCGTACTGCTTCATATGTTGTGTGTGGATATGCCGAAATACTGCAAGATCGTTATCATATCTTCTCGTTAACCTATGAATTTTGGACATTTGTTAAATTTGCGACTCGTTATAATAACATGTCTTACAGTAAGCGCGGGGTCCGAACTGGTTGAAAATATATAAGCACTAGGCTTGTAATGGAGAAAAAATGGTATAGGCCACACTGGAGTATAAGCCGCACCCCCCCCCCCCCCCCCCCGTTTTCGAAAAGAAATGCAGACATCTACTCCATTTTATCAGCGTTAATTTGATCATCGGAGTATAAGCCACAGTAGCCTTTTTGGGGTGAGTTTTGAATGTTCAAAGTGCCGCTCATACTCCGGCTCGTAAGGTGCTTACCATACAAGGGAGTCTCATCCAGACTGCTCAACAGTCTCACACACTGTAGAACCGGAAAATTTCACTGCAGTTTCATTTTCGGTAACTTCGGTGGAGGTATTTTGTGACCTTAAGAGAGCATGTCTGAGAATACCAAAGTATGTGTGCAAGTGGATCTCTCCGATTTCGCTCAAAATTTGCAGGTAGGTTCCCTTTGGGGTGTGGATCGCTCGTGCAAAGCCCTTGAAAAAGTTTCTGAAGGGAACCTTGAAATTTGCATACCCCTCAAAAATGGCCGAAATATCACATTATTTATGGGTCTAGAAACGAGTCACGCCACAGCGTATACGAACAAGCTATGAACAAAACTCCATCAAGCCAACATTGCCTCACCTTAGAAGAGTTCCTGGAGCAGTACCGCTTAGCCACGCCAGCATCCCAGAAGACGAGGTCCATCACCCCCTGACGCCACAAATGATCGTCTTGAAAATAGCCAATTTACAAGCGCTGGCAAAACAGCCAGCTACGTCCTCAATTGGCCAGAACTATACACCGGCAGATAGTAGAACACCTCTTCTAGCGCTGAGGACATGTCCCCCATCTTCCTTTTGGGGTTTTCTTGAAATAAACTTTTTTGAATTTTTCCACTCGACCATGCTGAAATACGGCCAAAGTCATACCTGCGCAGGAAAGCTCGCCACTCCGCGACGTCTCCTCAGCAATTTTTACTCCAACACTACTCCCAAGGCCGCAGAACAACGTGTAGTGTTGACTCTGACAAGGAAAAGCAGCGGTGATCACTTGTCACTCCAAACGACAAGCTTCTCCTTGCGCCACCAATAATTTTTTGTGCGACTGTTGCTGCAAAAGTGACTGAAGGCCTGAGCGCAGTTTTTGAATTAAAATTATTTTATTGCAAGATGCACGGTGAAATCACGTGCCTTGTGACGCAAGAATGCCAAGTCGCGTGGCCCACGGCTCACGAGATTTCAGAGTCACCTTTGTCAAGTACGCTTGTTACTCGCCTTGAACGCCCGTTGGTCTGGAAGTGATCACACTTGTGTTGTTACGGCGCTCAAGAACACGCTGACCGTGTTGTAGGCCTACGAACCGGGACTTTCCCTGACCATGTACGTCGAAGACCAGTGAAATGATGATGAAATCACATTCTTTATGACGTAAGAAATCTCGCATGCAGTTCACGCGACAAGTGCGTGCAGCCAGTGCTGCTCGCGTGCCAGTCAACACAAAGGGACCGAGCTAGTCGCTTTTGTCGAGCATCGACATGAAAACAAGGGATTTTTACTGTTGGACTATGTTCGGGATTGCAGGAGGTAAGTGTGAAAGACGAATAACTCTCCATGCTGTACGGGGCATATTCCAACGGCTTGCTGCCATTGCAACACTCCTAGGACAGTTTGTGGGGGTTCTCAGCAGTTCAAGCAGGAAATGAAGCTCATCTTACCTCTGCCATCATGGTCTGTTCCGAGTAGCGTTCCAGGCACATTCGCGATCGATGGCCGCGTAACGTGATGCAGGAAGCGTCATCCTACGTCACAGAGCACGCGATCTCACCGTGCATCTTGCAATAAAATTCAAAAACTGCGCTCAGGCCTTCAGTCACTTTTGCATCAACAGTCGCACAAAAAATTATTGGTGGCGCAAGGAGAAGCTTGTCGTTTGGAGTGACAAGTGATCACCGCTGCTTTTCCTTGTCAGAGTCAACACTACACTTTGTTCTGCGGCCTTGGGAGTAGTGTTGGAGTAGAAATTGCTGAGGAGACGTCGCGGAGTAGCGAGCTTTCCTGCGCAGGTATGACTTTGGCCGTATTTCAGCATGGTCGAGTGGAAAAATTCAAAAAAGTTTATTTCAAGAAAACCCCAAAAGGAAGATGGGGGACATGTCCTCAGCGCTAGAAGAGGTGTTCTACTATCTGCCGGTGTATAGTTCTGGCCAATTGAGGACGTAGCTGGCTGTTTTGCCAGCGCTTGTAAATTGGCTATTTTCAAGACGATCATTAGTGGCGTCAGGGGGTGATGGACCTCGTCTTCTGGGATGCTGGCGTGGCTAAGCGGTACTGCTCCAGGAACTCTTCTAAGGTGAGGCAATGTTGGCTTGATGGAGTTTTGTTCATAGCTTGTTCGTATACGCTGTGGCGTGACTCGTTTCTAGACCCATAAATAATGTGATATTTCGGCCATTTTTGAGGGGTATGCAAATTTCAAGGTTCCCTTCAGAAACTTTTTCAAGGGCTTTGCATAATCGATCCACACCCCAAAGGGAACCTACCTCCAAATTTTGAGCGAAATCGGAGAGATCCACTTGCACACATACTTTGGTATTCTCAGACATGCTCTCTTAAATGAAGCGCGGCCTAAAATTCAACAGCTCCATGCCACGCAGTGTGCAAAATGTATATTCGGACCTGGAAAACCGGTTTACCAAAGTTTTCGCGCTACTGAACCGTTAATTTTGGGAAGTATGGAAAACATTACACCGCCGAAAGTTCCCGTTTCACAGTGCTACTGTACCTGGCCACCAAGCAATGTACTCGTCGACTGACCTGGCGTTTGTCGTTCATTCTTTCCTGTGTGTGTTCTCTCAGTTATCCACCGTCGCTGCCCGGACCGTACCGAACCGACAAGACTGTTTTCGTGGGTAGCGCTAGCCGGAACGTGCGACGACCATTCTTGCAAAACACCGAAGACTTTAAGCGACGCCAAAGCCCGATGCCATGAGCAAGGCTACAGGCTCTTCGACTTTGGAGTATTTACGACCCTGCCCATCGGCAGCAGGTATCAGGTTGACTTGATGATGGAGGAGATGCTCCAAACGAGACATTATGGCGACAATGTGCAATCATGGACAACGTACAAACACAAGGGACAGGATGTCGTCTACAACTTAGCCAGGACGGGCACATCTGTAAACCTCTTCAGGTCAAATCAGCTCAGCGACGTCATCTGCACAGGTAGGTGGGGTTTGGGTGAATACTAAGGCCGACCAGGGACTTGCTGTGCCTGTATGCCTCTGTGCTGTATGCTAAGGCCGATCAGGGACTTGCAGTGCCTGGATCTTTTGAGCAGCTACGCTCCAGACTGTGGAGCTTTGCTCATGACGAGCAAGGTCCCAGGTTCGAGTCCTGGCAGGGTTGGCATTTTTTCCTCCTTTCAGGCAATTCTGTTACCTAACAGTTTGCAGTGAATCTGAAGATCTCCCAATCCTTTAAAAAGATGTAACAATGAATATTATGAAGAAGAGGTTCGTGCGACTTTGGCGGTATTTAGGGAATTGTGTGTCATTCCTTATGTGGGAGCTTGCACTTTTCCTGCTGACTTGAATCTCACTTGTCTATCTCTCTCTCTCTCTCTCTCTCTCTCTCTCTCTCTCTCTCCCCATGGCTCTCTCCCCCTTTGAAATTCGCTTCCATAGAATTGGGCACCATTGCCCGTTTGGCCTTGCGAAGTAAAATAAAAATCAACAACAACTTGACTGGCTCACGACTGACATCCAGAGCACACGAGAAGCCCACCGAACCTTCCACTCGGCAAACCTGCAAGAAAGCACCACTCCCCGCTCAATACACAGCGTTTCGGGGAACTCACCCCTCATCAGTTGAGAGCCGGAGTAGACTAATGAATTTTGTGCTCCGCCAGCACTCTTCAATTATGACATCCTGCTGGCTTGTCTCTTCCTTTGCCTTCTTTTCCTTTTGTTTGTATTCTCTTATCTGTTTTACTGCTGTGGTTGGCTTTCACCCTTGTCTCAGCTTTACTGGCCTTCATCATGATGTGCCATGATGTCATCATGATGTGCCATGATGTCATCATGATGTGCCATGATGTCATCATGATGTGCCATGAGATAATGATATAATTACAAATACAAATGTAGTGCTGTCCAAGCATAAACATCACTAGGGATAGTACCTTACAGTGAGAGTCCATTTTCAATTGTGCTGTCCCCAGCGTGGGCTTGAGAACTAGATGGTTTGGAGGCAACGACGTTGTGAATGGCCAACGGTCCTCAGCGCTTGATCTGCACACCCCCCCCATGAGTTCCACGTAAGGAGCGACACACAATTCCCGATGAATGATATTACTGTTGAGATACTATAAGACGTCATTCTCTCCGACACAACGGACAATGGGCAAGGGTAGGTGGAACGACATTTATTATGGGAGATGAAGAGACGGAGACAAAGATGAGTGAAACGACGACATTGTGGAAGAGAGGGAGATTGAGTCAGGGCGAATGCAAGATTAAAGGGCCTGGGTGACTATGGCAAATATGGGCGCGCAATAAGCTTCCTTAGGCCACCGGAACGAAAGGTTGGTACGGGTTGCGTGCAGGCCGGCTTGGGAAAGGTTGTATATTGTGCGGGAGGAAGTACCTAACATTATTATTAGAGAGGTTCCGCATAACGTAATTACGTTATTAAAAAGCGTAGTCGATCTACAGAAAGTCTTACGTAAACTGCATGCGCATCTGTGCTCCGCCATACGAAGCTTTCAAATCACGTAGCTGCCCTTGGCAACTCCGAACGCGGCAGTGTACGACCAGATCGATCTGGGAAGAGAATCATAAATTTGTACCCCAATCCACTTATGGAGCGCCTACGTTATCAGAGCCCTATCTACGTACTCTACGTAGAAACCTTTCCGTAAGTAGAGTGCAAACTCGCGAATTCACGGGTTTTTCGTGCCCGCTATTACGTAAAGTTGCTTAGCTTTTAATACGTGGTGCGGATCCTGTGTATTACAATGAGGACTGCGACCCACCCGCCTGTGTGGATTCACAGGAAGCGTGAGTTACGAAGTCTGAAGACAATGTGGAATTGCCTCTGCTACGATGACAGCTGCACCATAGCCCAGTGGTTAGAGCATCGCTGGCTACAAGGAAAAGTCCCTGGTTCTAGTCCTGGTGGTGACAGTCAATGTTTTCTTCAGACATTTTCCTGCTCGCATCTTTCTGTCAAACCAATGAGTATTATTAATTCTATTATGTGTACTTCCTCCGTTAACAAAAACTTTGTGATGATTTTTAATGGATATGAAAACGCTTAGAACAGGTCAAGAACAGTTTGTATCGACTGTAAATCACTGGACAGAGGTGATTCAGCCTATGTACAGCGTCTTTACAAGAGAAACTGTTGGGGGAATGAGCAGAGAATTCAGTTTGCGTCGCTTTCGCTCGACTCATTTTTGACCTGCGTCGCTGTCGTCATCTGCTGCACGCAAGTCGTCATCTCTCTCGAGTCGTTGTTCAGCTCGTTCCAGCCTTGCCTCGGCTTCTTTGATCACACTCCGGTGACCTTGATGTCGCCGTCGTTCAAGTAAGTTGGCTTTCAAGCTGCGTGATCCGCCGCGATGGCGATTACTCGTTTCCACCAGGGAGTCGTAAAACATATTTTACGACTCCCTGGTTTCATCTTCGCTCTCCTGAACTCAGCGAAACGGCGCAGCGAAACTGATTCCATTTTCTCTGATGGATACCCCTGCCAGCATTGAACGGCAGCGGCTAGCAAGTCCAGTTGACTTTCTGACTTTAGCCACGAGACTCGCATCGGACTGCAGACTTCTGAAAGAATGCATGGTCATCAGCATTCGAATCTGGGCTTTGCGCAGGTTGAACAAGAACTTGAGTTCAGAATTATTTTCGTTGAGCTGTACGATCGGAGCAGCTCCTTGTTCACACGCTCATTGTGTGGGCTCGCTGCTCCGCTTTATCGCTCTCTATCACTCTCCAACTTACTCAGTGCTGAAGTAGTAGAGAGGCCAAGCAGCGCAATATCCCCTCGGAGAAGTGGTATTTCAGTTTCGCTCGCCGTGACTGTCATCATCTATGTTTCCACAGCGCAACCATCGATTCCGCTCGGCTTGTTGTGAAAGGTCGCTTTCTAAGCTTTCATGGCATGCCAGGGAAGGCCACGAAAGTTATTGCGACTCATTTCACGGCAGTTTGTGTGCAAATCAGCCCCTCCAAAATCCATCACGAAGTTTTTTGTCAACGGAGGAAGTATACATTCTAAGGTTGTTCCCCCTTTCCCTTTTAAGGCTGTGTTTGCATGAAAGATTTCAACCCCGGTTGAAAGCCTGTACGATGAAAAAAATAAGTCTGTGTTTACATGAAGACAGTTGACCCAGGGCAATTACTGATATGCCGTCTTCTCTCTCTCTCTCTCTCTCTCTCTCTCTCTCTCTCTCTCTCTCTCTCTCTCTCTCTCTCTCTCTCTCTCTCTCTCTCTCTCTCTCTCTGCGTCTACCTGTAGGTGTCTGGAAGACTTGGCCGGTCAGCCATAAAGGTGGCGAGTTCCTTCTTGCTAGACTGGATTCTCGTGCTTTTTCGTTTAATTATTCCCCCAAGACTTGCGAACACAATGGGTACCAATCATTTACTCCTGCCCATAGTGACTTTCTACGAGACACCACGGAAGCACTACGAGATATCGGTGCATTTGCTCACCAGTTTAGGTTCGGGTGGGCCACGGGGAAAACACCTACAAGAGACTATTTCCGTCTAAACGCCGGGCGGCACCCATCTTTCCACTATCAAGGTAGTGGACATGCAAATTCCGATTATGCGCTTTGCTACGGTAAGAGAGTGTCAGGTGCTAAATGTGTTCTGTTCATGGTCCTCAGGTTAAATGCATACACTGTCGACTCCACTTCATAAGTTAAAACGGACTCACATAATTATAGCGAATTTCGTGATATAGCGAACCCTTGTCCATGTCCCTGTTTGAACCCATACGAAATTGACCCCTTGTAGCCAACAGGTTTCGTTTACAACGAACCAAATATGGTAGGGCCGCTTCGGTAAACTAAGTGCACACATACTGTCAAGGGCCACTTGCCAGTCATGACTTGCTGCTTGTGTGGTGTGCATGCATTTCTGTTATAACAAACTTCGGCTATAAAGAACTAATTCTCCTGCACAATGGTGTTCGTTGTATGAGGAGCCGGCTGATCAATCATCAAAGTTTGGAACGCGCAGTGAGCTGGCTCAGGAAGATTTTTTTCCATCGAGTGGGTGTCTTTGTTGTCAAAGGAGCTTCAAGTGTTTTCAAGTGGGTTAGGTCTATCGAATTTAGCGCCAGGTGAGAGCTTATCAAACGCTGGTTGAGATTGGACTCAGCGATGGTGTCAGGTGTCGCAACAAGGTTCCAGAGTCATTGGCGTGAGAGAATTACTCCCCGTGCGGAGCAGCACTGAAAGTTCGCGCGCGCGCGGACGCGCGATGATTATTTCTTTGGTGAGGACCTCGCTGGGTTTGACCAGAAATGGTGCATCTCAGCGATGAAGAGCGCTCATAAAATCGTATTTGTATATCGATAAGAATCTTGTTGCAGACACTGCTGAAGCGCTGTTCACTGCGCAAAACAGAGAGGCACTATTATGCCTCCCTTACCGGTCGAAGCCAAGCTGGCTGCTGCCTGTGCTGAGAAAGGGGATGATCCCTAGAAAGGTAAAGCAGTTCATCGTCTTGGGACAACATATTCACATGCTGCGAAACGCTAGTACTCGCGCATGCAAATGCGATAAATAATTTGTCTGGGTGAAAGTGTGCAAAGGTGTGGATGTCAATGGTATTGGTCTGTACATATGTCGGTATAACCAGCTACTTGAGTGGCTTGGTTTTTTTAAATTTCTACCGCCCACGTCAGCACAGAGTCCTTGGCTACACAAAATGAAAACCCCTCCAAATCTCTCCAAGACAAACTTCAAATTCCTTCCAATTTGCAGGTGCGCTTCGTTGAGCTGTGTAACGTGTTACGTTTGGTGTATTTTTCAATTTCGTTGATTTCGGTAGATAGCCAGGCACGTACATTTAGGTTTCACCTATACGGTATGTACACTGTATGCGAAGAAGAGCCTGGTCACCTAATTCTACATATCGCCTCAAACCTGCCTGGTTCCTGACACCGAAATAGAAATTTTCTGTGCACCGAAAGTGACGTGTAGCAACAAGCCCATCGTGCATTGGCAAGTATGGAATGCATGTGTGCAATGCATGTGAGTACGCTGGAAACAGCATTCAGCAATGCACGACCATGCCAGGTGGCTGTGTGTGGTGTGGACCGACGGTACAAAATTAATGACGTCACCACTCGATGGGCGTGTGCAGTATGCACACACACACACACACACACTCCACCAATTAGGCACCTGGCTGAAAAAGTGGTGGAATCGGTGAGAAATGTCCGTCCACTGCAGCGCTAGGTCCAACTGTGTAGCATATCTTACTCTTCTCCCTGGTCTGTGTTGTTTCTCTGATGTTTGTAGGATGCCAGGAAGGTTACAGTGGCAAATGGTGCAAGCGTAAGTTGAGATTCCCTTACTGACTTCCCTCACTATTGTTTGGGTTCTACAGTCCATTCATAACAAGAGGGGCCCTGGCTCTGGCGAGCTCCCGCATTTGGTGATTTTGTTTCCTGATTTTATCGTACACAGTGCATGCTGCGAAATTTGAAATTTGAAAAAGGGTGCAAAAAGGGTACCTGGACTGGGGCTTGAACCGCACAATGCACTGTTGCAGGCAGGGTCAAACGGCCTGGATTTTGACGTTTTTCCCCAATTCAGTGCTTTGGGGGCAAAAACTGGCCGAAATCCTATTCTTGTTATGGCTTGCTTTTTGGACAAATAGACTTCAGCAACATAATTGGAAGAGGTTTCCATAGGGGTTTGCAGAAAACAATTCTTCGAAAACTCAACTTTTGACTCATTTATGTCCAAAAGCTACAAGTCCATCTTTTTTTGAATGGCCTGTAGGCAAGGGAGAATGTGGATGGGCCATAGCACCCTCCTAATCTGACTGAGCCCCCCCCCCCCCCCCCCTGTGAAAAAGTAGCAAGCCCTTACTTTTTGTATGCAAGTTTTTTTTTTTAATTTCAAATTTGGACTTCACGGAGAATTTCAAAGTATTAGGAAATTTAGAGGCCACATGCCACGTACTGCTGCTCTTTTCACTCCGAAACTCAACACTTGCATATGAAAGCAGCTAGTGTTGAAACGAGCGTATCTATAACAAACGAGCGATCGGTTCCACTAACGAGCAAGCTATCGAGCGAGCCAACGAGTTTCATTGATGTGGCAAATATGTTTTTTTTGAATATTTTGTTCTAAGTTAGATTTTTTTCAGCTGGTACAAATCATCACCACCGCCATTTGGGATTGCTGCTGCTTCACTTCGGACTGCTGTTTGGTGTCGAGATGTCTTTTCAGCGCCGTCGTTGAGTAGCCTTTGTAAGAATAGACCGTTTTGCAAAGATTGCAAGTAGCCCTGGTCTTCGCTGCATCGCGGGAGAAAACTTCCAAACGACTGAGCGTAACTTTCACTCGAATGGAGAGGTGACCGAAGCATATCCTGCGACAGGTCAGCAGATGCGGAACAAGACATCAGTAGAGTCCACCAAAGCTGCAACGACAACTGAAACAACTCAAATGTCGTGCAGGCATACAGTCACCGTAACTGCGAGTGATTTTCACTTTGCGCGGGACTGGACTCTCGATCGACCAGTCAGTCGTAAAATATTTTACGACTCCCCAGTCGACATGTACTGCCATGTGTACGGAGTACGGTGTACGGTGTTCGTTAGTGCAAACGAGCTGGCCGCACAAACGAGCCGAGTTTCTGGCGAGCGAGCTAACGAGTATCCGGTGAGATCGTCTCAACACTAAAAGAAGCCCCTAATTTCCTAATGTTTTTTTTCTCCGCTTTATCCTATGTGTTTTGGCATTGGTCCTGCATGGTCAATGTTATCTTATGCTGAGGGTTTGGCACTCCAGGGACCTGGGCAAAGGGCCATTATAACGGACTTTTATTAAACGAATTACGTTGTAACCGGATCTGTAAACAGTTGTATAGACCAGGTTTCGCCAGGGCTATTCAGCACTCTATTTACTAATGGTGAGGACCTGTATTGGGACCCGGCACAAACTCTGCAGCCAAAAGATTGCTTCGCCTTGGCACACATGCCCTGATGTCGCAGCTACTGTAACTGCTATGGCAATGGAGATTAACACTTAGGTAGATAACACTCTGCAGACTGACACTCCATAGGCTAACACTCTGCAGACCAACACTCTGCAGACCAACACTCTGCAGACCAACGCTCTGCAGACCAACACTCTGCAGACCAACACTCTGCAGACCAACACTCTGCAGACCAACACTCTGCAGGCCAACACCTTGCAGACCAACACTCTGCAGACCAACGCTCTGCAGGCCAACATTCCGCAGACCAACACTCTGCAGACCAACACTCCGCAGACCAACTCTCTGCAGACCAACGTTCCGCAGGCTAATGCTCTGCAGGCCAAACTCTGCAGACCAACGTTCCGCAGGCTAACGCTCTGCAGACCAACACTCTGCAGACAAACGTTCCGCGGCTAACACTCCGCATGTATGCTCCGCAGGCTAATGCTCCGCAGGCTGGGTTGCGGTGTGTGAATGCAGTTGTTAGTGTGTGTGTGTGCGTGCGTGCGTGCGTGAGTGCGTGCGTGCGTGCGTGCGTGCGTGCGTGCGTGCGTGCGTGCGTGCGTGTGTGTGTGTGTGTGTGTGTGTGTGTGTGTGTGTGTGTGTGTGTGTGCATGATTATGTGTGTGTGTGTGGTTGCACCCCAGTCATGAAATGACGGTCATTCATTATCCAGCCATTTTTCAACTAAATCCAACTGATCAATGTTGTGTGAGCGTGTGCATGTGCGTGCATTTTTGTGCTTGTACGTGCGTGTGTGTGTGTGTGTGTGCGTATATGTGTGCGAATATGTGTTTCTTTTGTACATGTGTGTGTGTGTGTGTGTGTGTGTGTGTGTGTGTGTGTGTGTGTGTGTGTGTGCGTGTGCGTGTGCGTGTACGTGTACGTGTGTCTGCATGTGTGTGTGTGTGTGTGTGCTTATACCTCCCGGATTTCTTCTTTGCTTATTAATGTTCTCAGCCAAGTGCGCAATACACTGCATGAATGGAGGAGTGTGCTCTGGATCAAAATGCACTTGCCCCGCTGATTTCACCAACCCTGACTGCTCGATAAGTAAGGAACAGATACTAGTAGTCATTAAGTCCTGATCAGAATCTTGCCTTCTCAGTTCTCGTTGTCCTTCGTCTTGTCCTCTTCATCTCTTTCTCCGTCTCAATTACTGTATTTCCCGGCCTCCGCCTCTCAATCTTGCTCTTAACCACTTTCTTTCTTCCTCTCTCGCTGTTTGCATCTCCCACCCTTTCTCTATCTTTCCTTTCTCTCTCTCTCTCTCTATCTATCTATCTGTCATGACCCGGACTCGACTCGTCGTGAAAGCGACCACACAATGAGATTCAGCAGCCAAAAGCTGGCCTCCGAAATATTCTAGAGTTCTGTAAGAACCATGATTAGTCCTGCGAAGGATTTGGCACTTTCGTTAGTTGAGCAATCATGGCTTACAACTCGTGGCCTCAAGTCACAAGTGTTGTCGTACGGCGGCTACACCTTCAGTACAAGTCGTCAGCATTGTACTCACTACACTGTTGAGCTTGAGGGGACCCTGCTTAGTCCTGCAAGGGAGCTGATACCTTTGTTAATCGAGCAAGCATGGCACCTCTTCTCGCGTCGTACGACGTAAAGGGTCCTGCAAGTGCTTCGCGCACTGCGGACTCCGTTATCCTTTTTTGGGAGAGGTCGCGGCTTGACCGTGAAGCGCCCTACGGGGTAATGAGAGGGAAGAGCCTACGGGGCAGAAGATGAAGGGTGACCCAATCAAGACACCGTACGAAGGCGGCGCGCTCTAGCTGCAGCAACATCCGACAGCGTACTCCAGGCTCCGTCGCACGATCGACGTACGAATAACCTCGGAGATCACTCATATTTGTAACACTATCATGTAATGTGGGTGAGCGAGCTCCCCGAAGCTATACTAAATATTTCCTACTAATTATTATATCACAATTATACTATAACCAAAATCACATAAAAGCCGCCTTCTTCCAACGAATAAAAGTATCTTTGATCGCTCCCCTTCAACCTTCGACTACCTTGTGTGAGCCGGAAAACAGGTGGGAGCTAGCAACTTGGATGGCGACTATATTGGTCGTCTACCTGGGTAGCCACTAGACTGATCTAAGCCAAGTCACAAACCCGCCAAAGCGCGGCCATGACATATCTATCTCTGTCTCTATCTATCTCTCTCTCTCTCTCTCTCTCTCTCTTCCTCTCTCTCTCTTCCTCTCTCTCTCTCTCTCTCTCTCTCTCTCTCTCTCTCTCTCTCTCTCTCTCTCTCTCTCTCTCTCTCTCTATCTCTATCTCTATATCTATCTCTATCTATCTCTATCTATCTATCTCTCTCTCTCTCTCTCTCTCTCTCTCTCTCTCTCTCTCTCTCTCTGTGTCAGAGTAGCCGCATACGCCATTATTGTTGTTCATGAGAAGTCGCTAACATTGCTATGCCTGAGCCACTGTATATAGATGGATGACCAATGCCTTGTGAAATTCTAGACTGTTTCGTTTTCCGGGCCATCACTGTTCAGTACACTGTTCTTGGGTTTGTGATAGTTCTGTTGTGCTATGCAGTAGATGTCACCCAAAAACACTGAAAATATAATCACTATAGTAGCAGTAGCAGAGGTAGTTTTATAATTTTTGCTAGGGTAGTACCAACAGGCTGCACTGAGTTACCCAGTTTCTGAACCTGTGGCTGGAAGGTGCGATGGCCATCTAACACTAAACCAAGGTAGTTGGCAGTGCTCGCAGGAGTAAGAGCCTTTTCTTGACAGGTCGAGGGCCACGGCAACTGCAGCGCTGGGGGCAGGCGTGGCCGCTGCAGAATGAGAAACTGGGTCTGGCCGGGGTTCATGATGAGCTCCTTCTAATCTAAATGGAGTTCCAGTGCAGTATGATTGTCCTGGAGGTCCTGTAACATAGCAGGAAGGTCCAGTCCGATGATGAAGAAGGCAATGTCATCGGCGTTGAGTTGTGAGATACTGTGCTTGAGAATTTCCGGCACCTTGCGAATATAGATGCAAAAGAACAGAGGACCCAAGACCCACCCTTCTGGCACGCCCCTGGTGCAAGACACAGTCTTACCATGCTCACCATTGGCTGGGATAGTGGCAAGGAGTGCCCAAAGTATGTACGTCACTAACAATATTTTAACTATCGTGTTACCTGAAATGTCACACTAATGTCGCACTTTGCTACCTCGCTTTGCGCGCCTTACAACCTTCGCACGCTTTACTTTCCTACCTGCCTGCGTATAAATTTGTACCCAGATGATGTACAGGTTATCAGTTGTCTGAGGATTGCCCTGGGCAGGGGCATAGCGGCCGGTCCGGCCGGTCCGGCTTTCGCCCGCCCACTTTTTCGCCCAGAAGTGCCCAGAATGCAGGATTTTGCACCCTAGTTTCAATTTTTTCCCAGCGGGGACACTCCCAGACCCCCTCCAACCCAACCACCTACAACGGGGGTGCTACGCGTCTGCTATGTTTGCTAGGTGCATGAGACGCAGCGTTACAGCAATGACCTAGCTGCTTGTCTCTGTTCTCTTCTGTCTTTGTGCGTCGTACACATTGCCTATTTAACTTCGCCCTAGATACAGGCATTGCTGCCTTCTTGCTGTGGATCATGAACGCTGTCACAGCTCCTAGGCTATGATGGGGGGGGGGGGGGGTAGTTGCAGGTCACGAGACGTGAAGGGTTGCCGACCTTTGGCGGAGAATCCAGTTGAATGGCGCACGGTGATTCCGTTGCAAGCATTTTTGCAAATTTGTCATTTGCTTGATTTATTTCTTCTGCTTCTTGTCATTTGCTGCAGGGAACTGCCTTAATGGAGGAGTGTCTGTTGGTCGTAAATGCTCGTGCTCAACGGGTTTCCATGGTACACGCTGTGAACACAGGCGCTAAGGTGCGTGTTACAATGCATATAAGCCCTTATAAGCCCATTGTGCTTTGCCAAATGTGGACTGCATACTTAACCCTTTAAGAGCCGCCCCATACTTGAATGCGTCGTAAACGACGCATTCAAATGCAAAACTTCAAAAGATCGTAACTCAGTCTAATCTCGCTCAAATCCATCGATCGAAATATCCAGGGCGAAGAGAAAACTCTCACCTGTCGGGAGAAACAATCCGCGAAGCGCTGCGAGCAACGGTTCCCGAGATAAATCACTCGTAAGTTGAGCCGCGATCGCGGCAATTTCAAAAGCGCGCAGTGCAACTTTAGTATTGAGATTTTTGAGACTTTTCGTCACGCTGGTTTACTCGAATTTGCACGGGTTTCACTGTTGATATTGTCAAGGGTACACAGCAAAAAAATTGGAACTCCACGATCGAGTAGAATGAAATATCTGGAGCGGGACCCAATTGGACGCATTTGGGGCATTTTTCGTACTGTCGCTGCGATCTAGCGCTGGATAGACGGTGTGCTGGCTATCATGATCGACCTCATTCTCTTCCTCTCGCGAATACCTTTCCAGGAAGCCCTAGATTGTGAGGATTGAGTGAGTAGAACTGAAGCTATGATCCGAGGAACATGAAAAAATGCAGATTTTTGAAAATTTCCTGTGGCTCTTAAAGGGTTAAGGCACTCGGCCGGTCGATAAAAGCCAGGAAAACAAAAATACATGTCCACTGAAAACTCCGAACACGCTGTGTGTGTGTGTGTGTGTGTGCGTGCGTGTGTGCGTGTGTGTGTGTGCATGTGCACGCGTCCGTGCGTGTGTGCATGCGCGTGCGTGCGTGTGTGCATGCACGCATGTGCGTGCGTGTGTGCGTGCGTGTGTGCGTGCGTGCGTGCGTGATGCAGATCAACACTAGCACAGGACTAAAATTGATTGTCTCACTGGAGGTTCTTGAAAATTCCAGCACAGATGTGCACTATTCAGAAGAGTCCAGCATTCAAGAGAGGGCACTATTTTTTTTTTTTCAATGCCGGTACATTTACGTCCTCCAGCATAAAACCAAGAAGTAGTAAAAGAACACACAGCGCCTAGAGTTCTCTGTAAACTATTTACTCTGCATAAACAGCAACAAGAACTGCGATCTTGATTCTGAAACAACCTGGGGCCTGGCTATACAAGAACACCAAACGTAGGGCCTGGGTAGGAGTGGACAAGAACACCAGACGTAGGGCCTGGGTAGGAGTGGACAAGAACACCAGACGTAGGGCCTGGATAGGAGTGGACAAGAACACCAAACGTAGGGCCTGGGTAGGAGTGGACAAGAACACCAGACGTATCGCCTGGATAAGAGTGGACAAGAACACCAAACGTACATATGCCCTTGGGCACTGTAAAACCGGAAAGTCTAACGAGTCGCAAAGTCTAACGACCAATTTTTTTCGTTATTTGAAGAAACGTTATCGCGAGATGTCTGTGTAAAGATGTGCATACAGATGGGCGGCCAGGTAGCCATCGTTAAACTTTCTGCACGTTATAATGCCAGAATTGCAAAAACCTTAAACTATGTTGGCCGTTAAACTTTCCGGTTTTACAGTACAAGCCCGGGGGAGGGATCTCTATTCAAGAGAGGGCTACTATGTTTTCACTGTTTTAGAGACAGGGGACACTCTTCGAGATAAAGCACTATTAATGAGAAGGCTTGAATCATTCCAGTTCGATATCAGTGCGTGCAAAGCAGACAAATCCGAGAAGACCCAGAACAAAACACCGTCCGTCATCCGAAATATCCGAAAACCTACGCATGTAGTCTCCCTACCATTGTCTTTCATTATTCTTTTCGAGCTGGGCATGTGAACATAGTAAAAAAAATTTATAAAAAGCCGTGCAAGAAACATAGAAAACCTTGTGTGGCGCTGCCCACTAAGCAAGACAGAAGGGGTGCTCTATACGTTATGCGAATGACTCATCATAGTACATTTGCCACTGAGCTATGGTGTGGATTCAAGTCTACAGAAAGGTGTCTCGCGAGTTGGTAACCGTGCGGCAAGCTAGACTTCATTTTTGCGTCAAGCAAAGCGGCATAGCGCAGGAAATGCAGTGCTGGCAACGGAAATTCGGCACCTGATTTCTGCGCTCGAGTGCAGTACCCATTCTAGCGGTCTCTGTTTCGTAGTGTTCCAATCCTGTGCTGGGTCTTTGCAATATGAGCGCACCGCTCCAGCAGTCGGTATTCAGTTGTCAGCACCGGTTTGCTGGCAAACATGAGCATGGACATCGAGAAATGAATCAACCGTAGGTATGCTTATCCGTGTCACGGGCAGAAGAACGAGCAGTTGCTGTTTTGAAACTCTGAGTTTCAAGAACCGAATCGATCATCAGACGAAAATTGAAACCGACCCTGCCCTGAGAGTACTGCTATGATAGTACCATAAATGTGGCAACAGCCCAGTGCTGAAGCATAATCTGTGCAGCGCAATGTAGAGTGTGTGAGAAAGTGGTACCTGCTTGTGCGTTGTCACGCGATACTGTATAGCAGGAAATGTTCGGACGGAATTTATTCTCGTACAGTTTCGCACACTGCCTCTTTTGTACTAAAATTAATTCCGTACTAAAATATGTTCCTGTGAAATCGTGTACACTATACATGCGTACTGCATGCGAACACGTGCATTTAGCATGCAGCACTGTACGAAAATAAAACCCGTGCGAAAGGTCGAATTTCGGCTTTGTCCGAAAATATTTCCGTCCGAAAATTTTCCGCTACACAGTATTGCTTGTGGAATCAAGTGACAATGTTTGACAATGTTTGGCTTTTTCCATGTCTGCTTTTTCTTGTTCCCACTGCTCCTTTTGCTTCTATCTGCTTAGAGAGATGATTCGGGTGAATGGCGCCTAAAAAAAAGGCCGGGAGCAAGGAGTTTGGCATGCAAGGCAGAAACGGATTTCTTTCAGTAGTACTGTAGCACCATCCATACGTATCAGACAAGCTACGAGGAGTGTGCTGCGAGAACGAGGGAAGCATCTGCAATGTATGTTGATTCGTCTTTTTTTCTTCTTTCCTTTCGTTGTCTGCGGGAGAGGAGGGGAGCTGCTGGATTTTAACATGTGCATGTGCATCACATGTGCATAGCCTCTCCTTTCTCATTATCTGTTCTTCTCTTCGAGTGTGTTTAACACTACACGTAGAATGCTTTCCTCCCCCACTCACACATTTGATCTGCCCGGTGCTGACATATTTTGGCCTTCCTATCAATTATCGTACTGAACAAGAATCGATTCTTCCCTGTCTTCTTGCATCCGGTGACCAGGGGATCTTGCCCCCCCCCCCCCTCCGCCACACTGAGGAGTGGTGACTAGTTTGACCAGGGAATCTTACCTCCCCCCCCCCCCAGCCAGGGATGGGTGGTCACTGGCTTCAACAGGGGCTCTTGCCCCCACCCCACCCCCAAGGAAGGGTTGTCACTGGTTTGAACTGGGCTTCTGGACCAGGGGATCTTGCCCCAGGGATGGGTGGTGACTGGTTTGACCAGAGGATCTAGCCCCTTCCCACCCCCACCCCCCCCCCTCCAATGAGGGTGGTGACTGATTTAAAAAGAGGGAACCTTGCCCGTTTGCCAAGTGATAATAATTGGTCCTGGGTTTGGTCACCAGGAAGAGAGTGGTCAGTTTACATGTACATGTTTGGCATGTGCCAAAAAATTCGGAGAATGTGATCATGGCAAGTGGACTTGTGAGTTGAAAAACACTACTCCCATACATAAAAACACTACTCTCATACATAGAATTCTGTCCAAGGGAACTTCATACAATGTTCTCCACTTGTGATACCAAGAGTGCATACCTTCCCCGAAGAGTTTGCAACTCGACTGTGGGTGCCAGAGAGTCGTCAAATACCGGTATTTGAAGACTCCCTGATGGGTGCTGCCCCGGCAGAATTTCAAGTTGACACCATTAAGGGACCATCGCAAAAGTTCGCAGAAGCCCCCGAAACGAAGACCGTGAGTTTCGGGCCTGACTCCCCTCCCTCCCCCCTCAAACGAAACGACAGTCACAATATGGGCTTCATTTTTTCACTTGGATGCTCACACATAATAATTATTATAATATTACACAAGCATTGTTGTATCAGTGTGTAACAATGTACAGCACTTTATAAATGCAACGATGATATCACCTTGCAGTGGGTGATCTAAGAACGAGAACAGCTAGAGCTATGCACTTGTATCCTTTGAGCATTACAATGAACGTTGATTGGTGTATATTGCTTTCACATTCCCCATACGCGTCCTGACAATAGAGAGGTTAAGATGCACGTTATTTCTGACGTGACGCGAAAGTTCAGCTCGCGTTATTTGCTCGCACGTCGAAAAATCAATGCGAGTGACCTGCTGCTCGCGTCGAAATTTGGAGTTTTACGCCAAATTTGACGTCAAATTGCGCGTCACGTCGGAAATAACGTGCATCTTAACCTCTCTAGTGACAAGCGATCTACGCCGGCTGTGATGGCATGCTAATCCTACAGCTCCTATAATTATGTCGTCAGGCCATCCAGAATTAATTCGTTGTTTCGGGTCACCGTCCCGACCGACCTTCTTTTTTCACCCGACCGCAAAATGTTTTTTTTTTATAGTGGATGCAAATGTACAGACTAGACTATGTACACACGCGACCCTCATAAATTAGAATAATAGCAGTCCAGATATCGACCTCAGAAGCAGTCATCACTGCCAATGATTATGGTCATGGCTAGCCAAATGACAGGTGCTTGGTGATGACGTTGTCTTCTATCTCCGATCCGCAATCGATCCTGAAACAGCGTCAGCTCCGCCACCTTGTCGCTATTTACAGAAGTTTTCAAGGTGAGAGCTGCTCGTCAGACTCGTTTGCCAGCGAGGCCAAGATCTGGTCCTGGAGGGGACCTGGATCTGATGGGACAATGACTGCGCTGGATTGTCTACACTACAGTCAGATTCAGTGATCGACTGGCTAGATGGACACAAGCTATTCGAAGTATATGTATGCACGCGCACATTATTTTATTTTTATTTATTAAATTTTTTAATAGGGCATTCCCACAGGCCTAAGGCCTTCTAACGATGGACGTAACCAAAATAAAAAATAAAATAAAATAAAAAATAAACCCGACCGACCGACCCTGGTACGGATGAGTGAAGTGACCCGAAACAACGAATTAATTCTAGGTGGCCTCAATACTTTTTTGAATTGAAGCCCGGTTTGCGATTTTCGCACCGACTCCCTCCCCCCCCCCCCCCCCCCCCCAAACGTATGCTCTTCGTTTCAGGGGCTTCTGCGAACTTTTGCGATGGTCCCTAATTTTGTATGATGTAATGCACTGTTCACGGTCATGTACGTACATGAAAGAATATTTGCCCTTGACCGCAGAACTCCCACTGAGACCCTGTACGCTTACACGAAGATCTACACACTAGAGCAACGCTTAAATTTCAAGCAATACGTCTTTGTCTTTCGCTGTCTGCATGGTTTATCTAGCCCACTTCTCAGCCTCCTATTCACTCCCCGCTGCACTGGCCCACATTCTGCTGCCACAACTCGGGGCCAAGCTACAGCTGCTCTTGTCTTGCCTGCCTGCCACTCCCGGTATGGTTTCCATTCCATTGCGTATCTTGGTGCCGACAGGTGGAATGCGCTGCCTCCATCTTGTCGCCTGGCCGAGTCGCCTGCTTTGTTTCGCGCTCACACAAAGTCTCATTTAGGGTTCCCAGTAAAAAGGCAACATTGCCTGTTGGGAAATCCCTAACAAAATAAGAAAAAATAATAATAATAATAATAATAATAATGTACCGCAGGGAGTCGTCAAATTGACGACTCCCTGATGCACCGGTATTATCAGACGTATCCTGAACCTGTGATACATGGTCGACAAAGACCCATTTGATCCTCGTACAAACTAGTGCAAAGCAGGGAGTCGTAAATATATTCTAAGACTAAAATATTATAATGTAGAAGAGAAAAGGACATATGGATACGAGTTAAGGGGGCACATCACCCAAAAATTCGCTGAAAAATCGAATTTGTAAATTCATATTGAGTGCTACGTCAGTTGAAAGAGCATGAATAGCTGCAAATTCTCTGAAAACTGTGTCCCTATCTGACCAGCCGTTCAAGAGTTATGGCCGAAAATGTGCCCTTGCAAGGAAAGATTTTTTTGTTGCATGCTGTCATTTGTTGGCAGCACTGTATTTGAATGTGAGCAGACCGTGCGCAACTTGTCGTATTATGGAAACACGCGAAAGTGTGCAGAATTTTGCCCCAAGTCCAAAAAATCACGTTAAAAAACCACGTATTGGGCTGCACGGCGGCGGGCGAAGCCCGCCGCCGTGCAGCAGGACTTTTGCCAGCACCCTCGTGACGTTGCAGATATGTGGCTTGATTATTGTAGTTGACGTTGATTTAGTGACTCTGGCAAGTTTGAGTCGTGTCAAGAAGTCAGGTAGGATTCAGTACTAGGCAGTAGTGAAACGTGAGTGGCAGTCTTTGCCGGTTTCTGAGGGCATCCTGGATTTGGTTTGCAGCGCTGTGGAAATGGCTTGCTGTGGAGGTCCCAGCACTGGATGTTGTATCAAAGGTACGACCTCGTAGCACGTGCCAAACCTAAAAAAATTCAAAAATTGCCTTGGGTCTGTGGGAGTCCGTGAAAGAACGCCCACTCGTTCCGTTGTGACAGATTCCAGGGCCACGTTGAGGGGCCCTACCCCACCACCCATGGCTGCTTCTGGACTTGTTTTAGGTTTGGGTCCCGCGCACGGACAGAATGGGCACGAAAATGTGAAAAAAATGTAAATGCATTTGTTTGGCTCCTGGGTGGCTCGCACACCGTAGCACTATGCCGGAAATTTGAGTTTTTCCGGCCTGGAAAGCCTGTCAGTGAGACGCAAGAACTTGTAAATCATGTCCTGAGGGCCAGCATAGTGGCAGGAGTGTGTGGTCAAAATTTCACTCAAATCCACTGAGAAACACCAAAGTTACGGTCAATTGAATGCCATATGAAATTTTTGGGTGATGTGCCCCCTTAAGAGTAACTCTCCATCACTGTAACATGATACTACACTGTATATACAGTCAGAAAGTGCAATAACTAGGCACAAAACCGTCTGACAGAGTACTGAGACATTCGACGTCCTGGCACCTAGCTTCAACACATCTCCGTAGCGCTTACAACCGACAGAGGGGAAGGCAAGCGCAACGAAAACGAGCAAAAGCTACAGTCACGAACCATACGGCGAAACCATACCAAACCATACGGCGAAACGTACGTCGTGTGAAACAACTTGTTTTGTAGTCCATCACAATGTCATGCATGAGGAGTACTGTAGCGCAGTTTAGCGCGTATTGGCTTATGATTTCTTTTTCTTCTGTTTGTATTTAGCGCTTGACCGGTTATTATTTTCCTCTCTCTTTATTTTGCGCTACATATTATTATTTTTCTGGTATTATAAACGTAAGGGTGCGAAAAACAAACGAAAAAAATGAGGAGTGCTGTACGAGGTGGTTTGGCTTTTTTTAACATGGTTGTAAAATGACGACGGAACAAAGATTGTCGATAGTTACTGGACGATGACGAGACCAGTAGGCACTGTAGCTTGTGCTCGTTTTCGTTGCGCTTGCCTTCCCCTCTTTGGTCTTTCCATAACCTTGAACCTTCCAAGTTAGAAGGCTGTCGGTTAGCGCTACGGAGATGTGTTGAAGCTAGGTGTCAGGACGTCGAATGTCTCAGTACTCTGTCAGTTTTGTGCCTAGTTGTTGCACTTTCTGACTGTATAATAGTATCTAGTTACAGTGGTGGAGAGTTACTTTTAACTCGTTTCAATTTAATATGTCCTTTTCCTTTCTACTTTTTATTGATGGCTCAATACCCGAGCTTCAAATTATTATTATTATTCAATTTCAGAATCAACTCGTAAAAACTCCAAGTCAATCTCCAATTGACACAAACATCGTTTATTCAACATAATCATATCCTATCCAATAAAAACAGTTTATAAAAACAGTTCATAAAAACAGCTTCTAAAGCGGGATTCACAGAAGCTTTTTTGCGATGCGACACGCGATGCGACGCGGTCTGCGATGGATGCGTGCGATGCGAACTCGCGAAATACCATTCACAGAAGAAGTCAGCGATGTGACAAAGTTTTGCTGATTTGGGTACGTCACCATGATATTCGCGCGGTTTGACACAACTTGTAAAAATTTATAGGCAACTCTTGCACCTTTGTACAACTTTGCTGTAGAA